GAAGAGGGCAGTGGTAGCTCAGTGGTAGAAGTCTCCCCTTCCATGTGAGAGATCCGGGTTCACTCCCAGCCAATGCCCCTCAAGCGCAGCCACCGTCCGTCGGTGCAAGCTTACACGTTTCTGTGAGGCTGAGCAGGTTTCAGTGGAGCTTAGACTAAGATGGACAAGGAAGAAAGGCCTGGTGACCTACTTCTGACAATCAACCAATGGAAACCCTACGGATAACCATGGTCTGATTTGTAGCTGATCATGGGGATGCATAGGACTGGGCAGCATTTCGTTCCGTTGTCCACGGGGTCACCATGAGTCAGGTGCCAACTCAGTGGCAGCTAGCAACTACAACAGCAATAGATGAAGATACTGAGACTCTGAAAGTTTAAGAGACTTGCTCAGTGCCACCTAACAAATACATAAGTGGGAGAAGACCAGTATCCAGTCTTCTAACTCTATACACAGCACTCTTTCTTGAAATTCAGCAAAGTAGAAAAAAATGTGAGAAGTCATCGACTGAGCATCACTGTAAAATTGTGTGTGTGCACCAGAAAGTTTCTGGGATGAACCAGGGTGGATCCCCTCCCTGCTAGCTCTGTCCTTGCGCTGCCCCTGACTCACACTCTTAGCTCCTGGCAGGTTGCTCAACCATTTTGCATTGCAGTTGTCTGGCAAACCCACCGCTGAGAATGAGCTCTCAGCTCCTTAAGTGATGTGTGTTAACTTCTCCTCTCCTAGGCATTGGGAAATAACCCACACATACGCAGCAATCAACTCTGAATAAAAGAAGCTTGTATTTTTAGTCCAAGCAGCCTTTGTAAACAGTCCCTTCTACTCACCTGTAAAGCTGAATGCATTCCATGTTCTATTTTCTGTCCTTTCCCTGAAACATCCTCAGGGGTTTTAAAATCTTCTCCTCAATAACCTGTTTCAGACAACCCCTAGAGCCCTTGTTCATCACTATTTTTAACTTTTACTAAAAAATTAGTCATTAAGAGCAGAAGATACTTAGACATCACCTAGGCTCAGAGAGGGAAATTGATTTCCACAGTGTTACACAGCTATGAAGGGGTGAAATCAGAGCCCAGGACTCCTGACTACTTAGTCCTGGCATTTTTTTTTTTTTTTTAAATATACTTGTACCTGTTAGGATGCTTTGGGCTGCAAGTAACTGACCATGTAACTCATGCTAATACCATTAGAAATATAGAGGTAGAGTGGGTTCCAGGGTCAGCTTAATCAGTGGCTCCACCTCCAGTTTCTCTGAAAATCCCTTGGATGCACTCTCCTTGTGTTCTGGCTTTGTCCTCATGGGGCAAATTGGCTGTGGTAGAACTGGCTACCACATCTTCCTACCAAGGATATCCAGAGGAAGAGAGAGAGCAGCACCCCATGTAAAAATGGAGTGGCATCAGATCTTGTCTAACTTCAGGCTGAGAGAAGAGAATCAGTGTCAGTATCAGTCCAAAGCTGATTCCTATGAAGTAGAGGTCAGACATACTTCCACTCTCCAACCTTCTTACCAATTCTGACACTAGCCATTCCTCCCACGGCACTCTCTACTTACCTGCTGGGTTCAGTAATTCACTGCAATGGCCACACAGAACTCACAGACCATACTTCCAATTATGGGCTTTATAGGGAAGTAACAGGTTAAAATTCAGGATCAGGATCAACTTGGAAGTAATAGGAACAACTCAGGATACAGTTATTTGATCAGGACAGCTTCTTTTCTGCTGGGCCCACAGAGAGGCCGCTCTCTCAGCCCTCAGACATTGGCCCTCAGTCCTGCTCTTGGCCCTCAGCCCTCAGTCCTCACTCTCAGCTCTTGGCCCTCGGCCCTCGGCCCTCAACCTTCGGCTGTCACTCTTCGCCTGGCCTCTGGCCTGCTCAGGCAAGTGTTATAAAGCTCTTTAGCTCCAGCAATAAGAGCCTAGAGGCACCCCAATCCGCCAGGAAGCCTCCTGCCTGAAGACACTCAGCTTTCTTACTGCCAGTCTCGTACCACTGCCCTTTCTCTGCTGCTGGACTCTGCTGTGCTTGCCTCCGCTTCTAGCTGTCTTGTGCCATCTTCGGTGTTACAGCTGTCTGTCTCCTGGGTCTAGGAAGTTCTTAACACAGGGACCCTGTGTTCAAATGACACACTGCACTCTCAGCTCTTCTTCTTGGTGGTAGTGAGGTACCCGCCCCCAACCTCTGGGATTGGCTCCCTTTAGGCCTTGTGGGATGGCGAAACTGGCCAATCCCCTACAAGGGTTCTATGTACCTTATTTGCATAGTTCCACACCCACAAGGATTCCTTGCACCTTATTTGCATTAGAAAAATTGTCCAACCCTCTTGGTGGGCCACAAGCTCCTTATTTGCATAGTTCCACCTAATTATTTTGTGGGAGTCACAAGACCATGGCTATAAGGGCCATATTAAAGCAATTCACTGCACCACACCGCAACATTCCAACAGAGCATCCTGAAATTCACCTTCTTTGGACCACTTAAGTTACATGACCCTTCCTGAACAACCATCAGGGCAGAAACTCACCATGCACTGATTGTATTAGGCCAGTCACTAACAGGGGAGTCGAGATTACCCTGCACCAATCAGTGGTAGAATCTTCTCATGTATTTGACATCTCTGTGTGACATTATGGCTAGAGATTAAGGGAAAGCAGAAGACGAAATTCTTGTCCCCCAAAATCCCAGTCCTGTGGAAGGTGTCAATCAAAGCTGCCTAGGGTAGAGGTAGACACACGAAAAAAAGAAATGGTGTTCTGCTAGAAAGACGAAAGGCAGAATGGATGCTGGGGAAGCAACTCATCTCATTTACTAACATTTTCAAACACAAGAACATAATCAGTTTGTGCCATGCCCAGTTCCCCTTCACTTATGATGCACCCACCCCCACCGCCCCATAAACACACACACACACAGCTATGTAAGCTGTTCCACCCATCCAGAAAATTGCCCTTGGTTGGCAGGAGCTAATTGTTCCAGAAAGTTATACCTCACCCCTTGGGCCCTGGGGATAGATCACATCTAATGACTGACTGATATGGTCCAAAAGGCCAGATTCCTTGCCTCAAAGGGTCGATTCTCCCAAGCGGTCTATGCTCCAGACCCTCCCCCTGTGGATCTGACAAAGTCTAGATCTGACCTGAGACCACATCCTTGCTTGAGGCCTTTCCCCATTCCTGCCCTGCTTTCCTCACTTGCCTACAGGTTCCTCCTGCAAGCTTCTCCTGCAGCTGAACCCTTGTCTCGGGCCCTGCTTCTAGGGAACCCCACCTAAGACAACAATGAAAAGCCCTTGCTGATGAGTAGTTCATTATTCCCCATGGATTACAGATTCACATAGATGTAAACTACATGGCAAAAAAATAGTAAGTGATATACCAGAAATCTATCAATGAATTCTGCCTCCATTTTATATATAAACTGGTATAAAATCATTGATAGTAGTATGCCCAACTAGAGAAATCAATAAGCTTTTTGGAATACTGTTATGGATTGAATTGTGCCCCCACCACAACCATCAAAAAAGATGTTGGAATTCTAACCCCAATACCAGTGGATATAATGTGATATAATGTAATGTAATACCTTACATCTAATGTAATATGATATAATCACCTTGCATAATGCAATCTAATGTAATATAATCAATCAATCAGTATAGGATGGAGGCTAAATCTAATCACTTCTGAATTATATAAAGAGCAGCATAGACACAGACACAGACACAGACACAGACACACACACAAACACAAACACAAACACGGGAGAAGACAGATGCCACGTGAGGATCATCTACAGCCAAGGAACCAAGGAATACTTGGGACTACCTACAAAGAAGGAACCAACATGGCCGAGACTCTGATTTGGACTTACAGCCTCCAGAACTGTGAGAAAATAAATTTCTGTTCTTTAATGTCACCCACTTGTGGTATTTCTGTTACAGCAGCACTAGGTAACTAAGACAAGTATCATACATTTGGCAGCTCTGTGAGGCATTATGGCTAGAGATTAAGGGAAAGTGGAAGATAAAATTCTTATCCCCCAAATCTCAGTCCTGTGGCCAGTGTCAAAGCTGGGAGGTTGGTGGAAGGAGAGCAGTCGTGGAGCCAGGCAGCCTTGGATTCTCCTCCCTGAGACAGCACTCCCTTCTCTTCCCTGGAAAGGATGTAGTGAAAGAGATTTACCAGAGACCTGGGTTCTCCTAGGATACGTATCTGTCACTAATAGACCATGTGATCTTAGACAAATGGTTTAATTTCTGCAATTTAGTCAGAATTCTTTTGGCTGTAGGTAAACAAACCCAACTCAGACTAACCAAATGTTAAATTTATTGGTTCATATAAATTGGAAAAACAGAAGAGAATGGACTTCAGGTACACCTGGATCCAGGGATTCCAACAGTGTCATCAGATATGTCTTTTTATTTCTTTCTATCTCACTTCTCTTCTTCTATACGTACAAGTTATGGCTACATTTAACTTCAGGATTATGTCATTAAGCCAATCACCCAGAGTTGAGAGGGCTTTGCGTTTCCTGAGAAAGCTGCCGATTGAAATGATTTTGGTCTTACTATCTATCATTCCTTAACCAGTGTGGCAGAGGGATGGAGTATTATGATGGCCTGGCCTGAGTCACATGTCCCCACTGTGGGGTATTCTTGTCATGGCACCATAGAGTAGACAGGGGCAGTTCCTCAAAAGAATTGAGGTACTGTTACCATAAGAAGGGGAGGTACACAAACAAGAGCTGTTTCCTATAGTCACGCCTCTCATTTATGAAATAAGGACAATCATTTCTCATCCCCAGGGTGATTTTTATAGGTTAAATGCTATATGCATGTCAAAGTACTAATGAATCACAATGCACAGCACACACTGGTCATTATACTGCTTCTTCCACCCAGTCTTCCTTGTGGATAAGATTGGGGCAATAGAGCCCTTTTTTTGTTTGTTTTCTAACATCCAGTCTACTTCTCAGCAGGACAATCTCCAAGGAAAATGAAACCCATACCGGGTCTGGGCCTGCTTCTGGCTGGCCTAGTGGCCGTGAAAGGTCTTCCACAAGACAACCTCTCTCCAGATAGTCATGTGGCTGTGTGGAAGGGAAGGCAGGCAGCCCAGGAGCTTTCAAGGAGGAACACAGCCTTTGGCTTTCAGCTCTTCAAGAAGCTGTCTGCTAGCAGCTCCAACAAGAACATCTTCTTCTCCCCCTTAAGCATCTCCACAGCTTTCTCCATGCTGTGCTTAGGTGCCCAGGATTCCGCTCTGGATGAGATCAAGCAAGTCTTCAACTTCACTGGGCTACCGGAGAAAGATCTTCATGAGGGCTTCCATTACCTCATCCAGAGACTGAACCAGGGGGGCCAGAACTTCATGCTGAACCTCTATAACATGCTGTTCATAAAATCGGGGCTGCAGCTAGAGTGGACGTTTCTGACAAATATCAAGAACCTATACAATGCAGATATAATTCCCGCTGACTTCCAGAACTTAGAAGTTACTCAGAAGAAGATCAATGACTATGTTAGTCAGGAAACTCATGGGAAAATAAACAACCTGATCAAGAATATAGATCCTGGCACTGTGATGCTCCTTATAAATACTATTTTCTTTCAAGGTAAGGCTTCGGGCTTGTTGGCATGAAAGAATGAGTAATAGACTTAGATTAAAAAGCTGGGTTGGCCGCTTGCTTGCTCTGTGACCTTGAAGTCCCATGTAATTAATCTCTCAGAGCCCCACTTTTCTTATCTATAAAATAAGTGTCATGATACATAGCTCACAAGGCAGTTATTGGGATTCTCTATGTGAAATGAGCTTTGTAAAGTTTAAATTATCCTCCAAATGTGCACTTCCATTATTACTGATTATCTTAACACAATATCGGTTGTAGAGATTGGGGTGACATTCTTATCCCCATATCCCCATTTTTTAGATGATAAAAGTGATATTCAAAGAGAGATTAATTGACTTACTCAGAGTTACATAGCCAATAAATGAGAGTCAAGACTAGAACACACTTCTTTTGGCTTGTGGCTGTGCACTTTCCACCACTCCAAGTAAACCCCTAGGATGGTGATGGCAGTGGTGTTAATGACAGTGGTGATTATCACTGGGTGGGAAGTTGGTATGTTTATCAGACTTTGTAGATTCTCCAAGTCTGAGTTTGAGAGACTGAAAATAAGATGGAAGCATGTTCCAGATTCCAAGCTTCATCTTCCACCACCACACACACAGTCACACACACACACGTAGGTAAGAATCAAAGGCCAGTACTCCTCAGGCCAGCCAAGATCACTGCTGAGCTGTCAGCAACATGGCTCTGAATCTGAAAGCTCAGGCCCACCCAAATCCAGAGGGAGACTGATGGCTAGAGAGGAATAAAGGGGTGCTGATTGCAGACTGATACTTCAGTCTACCCAAAACAGAAAAAGAGAAGGGAGAATCTGGAATTTCCCAAAGTTCCTGCATCCCCTAGATCACAACAGGAACAAAAGCAACAATGACAATGCTAATGATGACTAGCATGCACTAAATACTCTCTATACACAGTCACTGAGCTTATCCCACTCAGTCTCACAGCAAGCCTATAAAGTATCTATTAACATTCTCATTCTACAGATAAGGACACGGGGGCTCAGGGAGATTGAGACACTTGTCTGATGTCATACTTCTATAACAGTGAAGTCAGGATTTGAACTCAGGCAGATGGCCCCAATACTGTGGAAGAGCACAGAGTGTAAGGGTGAAGGTGAAGTTCTCACCCCTTTCCTCTTGGTTCTCAGGGATTCATACACACAGCTAACGAGAAATCGCAGGCTCTTGTGTCTACTTCTTTGCCCTCACCCAGTGAGGTTGAGAGTGCTGGTAAGACTCTCTCCCTACTACAGGCACAGGATGTTTTGATCCCATCCTCTTAGTTATACTATCTGGACTCTAAGGGCCTTTTTGCTTTGTGTTCATGATAGCAAACATTTAAATGAGAACTACACCAAGAGCAATGATTTTTTTTTTTAACTGAGAAAATGTCTTCCAGAGTGGATCCTTTTAAGCCACCTTAATTTCTTGCTCAGTTTTATATGAAAATGCAGTTAAACTGCCTAGAAATTATTTTATTGGCGTCAGTGGCTTTCCATGCAAATTTTACAATAACATTTGATCACTTTTTGTTGTTTTTGCTTCATTTTGTTTGTGTCTCTATCAAACTTTACCAATCATGGCCTCTGCCACTGCAAGTTTTATTTTGTAGCCATTATTCAGACAAAGTCCAATTTAGCCTTGTCCAATTTTTCCAATCTATATTTTGTAATGTTTAATTATTCCATAAATATGTGGTCAAACCAACTGTTATCATGTGCAGTTTTCTTTGTTGCCAGGTTTATTTTGTATCAGTTATTTCTACTAAGTCCATCTTTTTACATGTCAATTCTTGTGGGTTTTGACTTTAACAGCAAGATGCCATTTTTTATGGTACAGTTTTATTTGGTATTGGTTGCATCTACTGATAATAGTCATTGTGAATTTGATGAAAGGCAGCTCTCTTGTATCCATTTCTTGCAGCAAAGAACATCATCAAGAAAAAGGCCCAGTCTGAGATTATGCCCAATGAGGTCAAAGCATCCTCAGGTCAAAATGAAGGGCTAGGGCCCAGATGCCTGGCTTTGGGTGTTCACAGCTCCTCAGCAGGCTCTCAAGGGCAATCGGCTCCTTTAGTTTTCTTAGCCTCACATAAGAGTGGCTCCTTCCGGGGATGACTTAGAATAGAGTGGAGAATTTTTACTCAGGTTAGACTCAAAATAGTTCCTATTGGGTGTAGCCCAGTCCCCTCTGCTAAGACATAATCCCAGGGCTTCCTCAGCCTCAGGAGCACCCAGGCATAGGGAGCCTGCAGCTCCCATCTCAGCATCCCATCTCAGTCCTGGTTTCCTTGGGGACTGATAACCAGGCCCCAAGATCCCCTTACCAGGAGACTTCAGGGCATGACATGGGGGTGGGACTCCTGGGGACTTGCCCTGGTATCGTAGAGCCAATGAACCCAGAGACCAGTGGTTTTCTTGGTCCAATCACCTCTTCTCCCTCCAGCACTCATGGTCACATTGTTCTTCTTCAATCCTAAGCCACGTGGCAACATAAGTTTGATCCGAAAGCAACCAAAGTAGAAGGCTTTATGCTGGACAAGAACAAGTCCGTGAGAGTGCCCATGATGTTCCGCAGGGGCATATACAAGGTTGCCATGACGACCGGCTCTCCTGCACCGTCCTGGAAATACCCTACTGGGGAAACTTCACGGCCATCTTCGTCCTTCCCGACAAGGGCAAACTGGAGAGCGTGGAGAAGGGCATGGTGGCCAACGTATTGGCCAGATGGAAAAAAATAATCACGTGGAGGTAAAGAGGTTGCCTGGTGCACCCAGCTTCTTCCTTCTTCCCCGCTTCCCTCCTACTCTCTTTACTTCTTCCACCACAGATTTATTGAGCAATTACCCTGTGGCTGGCTCCTATTCTAGGCTCTATGATGATCTTATATTTTGGTGGGGAGTAGACAGAGACAAATTATATGAATACAGTGAAACACTTGCTCTTCTAGGGAGCTGTATAAAAATAGTGGGAGCACAATGAATGGAGCAAAAAACTTGGCTAGAGGGTGGTCGTCAGGGACAGCTTTATAGAAGAGGTGACATTTAATCTAAGTCTTCAGTCTGTGTGGAAGGAAGAGGAGCTATGGAATTCTAGACAATGGGGAACCCCAAGGACAAACACTTGGGGTGTCAAAGGGAGTTGTGAGTTGTTCATTGTGAATAGAATGATATTTTCAACTGTGGTGTCACAACGAAACCAAGGAGTGGGTCCCAAGCGATTTATAACTAATAACGGTTGAAGAGCCAAAGTATTTTTCTTTTAAAGCATAAAATTACAGCACACTTAAGGTAATGTTACAGAATCTCTCTCAGACACTCGACTATGGTAGATTTTCTTGGGAAGGTAAGAGCTGGTGTGAGAGTTAAGTTCTGGGGACTTGGTGTCAGTGTGGGCACACATGGTGCCTCAGGGGCATAGGGGGCAGTTGTGGCAGGTGAGGAAGAAAGGGCAGTCCCACTTATCAGAGACAACATCAGTATGTCCTCCTCCCCTGCTTTTCACGTTGTCTCTTCCACCTGGGCCCCTCCCGCCTTCTCATCCCAAAGGTCTTTTGAGAACCAACCTTGGTCATGCCTGACGTGCTTGTAGGTGGGAGATGGTCTGAGCGAGGTGGAGACAAGTTTAGGACTGAGCTGGGCTGCCTGTGAGTGAGAGCAGAACTGAGCTGGTTCGTCTCTCTGGAACAAAAAGAACAAATTTCTGATATCTAGAGTTAGCTGAAAACTCACGGAAGGGGAATTCTGGTTCTGAATGCTTCAGATAAAGTCACAGTTCTGCCAGGGGCAAAAAGCAGCAGGCTAAATGGCAGGCTGTCCCATGGGAGCCATTGGCTATGGAAAAGGGCTTCAAGAGCCAGATTCGGAAACATTCCCCCACACCCCGAGATGAAAACCTGGGGGCTGCAAGTGTTGGCAGAGTCTGGCTTCTGAAACAGGAGGAGGAGCCTGGGTTCCAACCCCAGCTGAGACCCATTTTTCTCATCTGTGATGTAACCTCTCACAGGACTGGATTAATGAGAGGATTGGAATGACTGGGTGGTGCTAATAGTTAACACGCTCCACTGCTAACCAAAATGTTGGAGGTTTGAATCCACCCAGAGGCACCTTGGAAGAAAGCTCTGGCTATCTACTTCCAAACAGTCAGCCATTGAAAACCCTATGGAACATAGTTTTACTCTGACACACATGGGGTCACCATGAGTCAGCCAACTTGACAGCAACTGGTATTTTTTTAATGAGGATTAAAAAGTGCCTTAGCACAGGCTTGCCCACAGGGGGCGCTCACATCTCCATCTCCCTCCCATTGGTCGAAGAGGCAGAGGCCCAGGCTGCTCAGCAGATCTTCTGAACCTCAGGTTTATGGACGAACAGATGTCAGAAATTTGATCCTCACATCCTAGGGTGAACCCCAACATGGTAGCTCACCCACTGATGGTGAAGGCACAGCCCTCTTAACATGGGGGTGCCCCGGAAGGGGCTGGCCGTGTTCTACCAGGAGTCTTAGCATTCACAGAGGTGTCGGGGGTGGGGGCTTTCCAGCAGGTGGAGAAATGTGAGGGTGAAAGGAAGGTGGAAAATGGGAGGGACCCAGGCCCTCCACCCCCACTTCATCCAGTAGTCCCAGCATCATGCATCTTTGATTCCATGGATCACATTTCCTTTAATATTCAAATGATAGTGATTGAGACTCTGCCAGTGGACTGCTAGACCTCAGCATCTTCAGTGTGCCCTACCCCCTTCTCCAAGTTATTCTGGTAACTCCCCAGGAGGCCATACTTGGGTGCTGGCACTAGGTCCTCATGTTCCCCTTGCCAAGCCTTCTCTCTGGAGCCTCTATTGCTGACCATGTCCAGATAGTCTAGGGAGGCAGTTGCCATCTTTCTGGCTTTAGGAGAGGCTCCTCCTCCCTTTGCTCCTCTTCCAAGTGTGGGTAGAGCCTCCATGACTTCTGGCAGGCCAGCTCAGTCAGGCATTACTGGAGGTTTGGGGGTACTGAAGCCAAAGTCCCTCATAGGGGCCCAGGGATAACTTACAGTGCACAGAAGTGGCTTCTCATGGAGTCCAGGTGCACGCTGCTGTCATGGTCTCTTTCTGGGTGCGCCCTCCCCAGCTCCTGGTCTGCCTCCACTGACAGACCCCCATACCCCTACCACACTTGGGCTGGTCCCTGCATCTCCATGCCTTGAGGCCAGGAGGACCTTAGAGAGGACTGGTGAAGTCCTACCTCCCCAGTCGCTTCCCCCATGACTGACCTAATCCCCTTGTGGGAAGCTCCATGCCCTCTAACAGAGCAGTGAACTTGTCCATGGTGGTTCTAGGAGGAAAACTAAGTGTCATCAGAACTTGATAGGTCAACATTCCTACATTCTGAGCTCATTGTGTCTGGGAGTCAAGTTTCTTCTTATCTGGAGGAAGGGCAGCTCATCCTGACCACTTATCTATCCCATGCTCTATGGTGGAGTACAGTGGGGTTGAAATACTCCCATGTGTTCTTTCTTCCGTCCCTAATGTTTTGGAAGGCCTAGTAGAGGCTAAAGAGGAAAATAACCTTTCCTTCCCAAGAGATGTAACCAAGCCAACAGACACGCACCTAGAAGATACGCCAGATGCACACGTAGGAATGACTTTGGAATGTAGGTTACTGATAACTTCAGTGTGGCCTCCGCACAAAAGGCAAATGCTGGCTTTGTATTTGCATCATTAGAGGTCTGCTCTAATTCCTTCCCAGAGGAGAAGTTCCATGTTTCCTAAGGCCCAAAACTGCTAGGTGACTGAAATATCCATTTTTCTGTTAAAAACTTTTCAGTCCACCCCAGCCAGCATACCTTGTCACAGTTTTATATATTTATTCGGCTTCTTCCCAAAATAACATTTGGGAGAAGGTTCTCCTGCTAAAAAGTTGTCAAACCACTTCTCTGGGCTAGAAGTCAATAGACTATGGCCTGTGGGCCAGATTTGGCCAGCTGCCTATTTTGTTCACAGATGCACCTCAAGTGCCTAGAACAGCGCCCAGTATACATTAGGCACGTAATAAATATTTGTTGAATGAATGAATGAGTGGAAAGATACATTGGGCATGTAGATGATATGTAAGACATGAAACTGAATGTGATCCCCTAGGGAAGGAGTAAAGATAGAAGAGAGAAAAAGACCAAGTTCTGATTCTTGGAGCACCCCGACAGTTAGAGACAGGGGGATGTGGTGCAGCCAGCAAAGGGCAAGAGAAGGAAGGGGGAAACCTTGAGGGGTTAGACTTGGCTTGGAATCCTCCAAGAGGGAGGCAGGCATCAACCAGTCAGGCATTGCTGGAGGTTTGGGAGTACTGAAACCAATGAGAACTGGCTTCTGGATCTAGCAAACTGGACGTCCACATCGACTCAGTGAAGTGCCATTTTGGTAGAAAGTTGAGGACAGAAGCCTGACTGGAGTGGGTTGAGGTGACAACAGGAGGAAGTGGAGATGCCTTTTCAGGGAGATTTTCTGTAAAAGGGAGAAAAGAAATGGGCTGGAAGCTGAAGGGGTGACTCAGGGCCGAGGGAGAAGTTTGTTTTTGCTTCTTAAAATGGGAGTTGTCACAGCATGTAGTCTGCTCCTGAGAATGATCAAGTAGGTTCCACTCATGGAGGATGCAGGAGAGAGAGGAAACAGGCAAGAAGGAGGTCCTTGGAATGGCGAGAAGAAATGAGGTCCAGGTCCACGTGGACAGGGATCGTGCAGGTGCTTCAGGGAGACTAGGCACCAGGCTCTGGGCCAGGAGACTGGTCCAGGTCGCACCCACAGAGGATGTGGGGCTACTAATTCAATAAGAGGAACATTTGCTGGTCACTGACTGCCTGCAGGCCACCTTGCATGCCTTTGCTTTAGCACTCTGATTGTCCTGTGGATGCAATGTTTATCATCACTATTTTCAGACAAGTAGCTTAGAGAGGTAAAATGATCTGCTATGAGACAGAGCTCATGAAAGGCAGAAGGGATTTGAACTCAGTTCTGCCTAACTACAAATCTGAGGTCCTGCTGCCTCTAGCATCTAGCCTGCTGGGGTCATTGTTGGCTCAGGGGTTGAGCATGGCTGAGTCTGAAGTGGGGGGATCCTCAGTGGCTGCAGGTGAAGGGACCCTGAGAAGGTAGGGATTTGACAGCCCTTCCTGAGGATGAGGGCTCTGGGGCAGGCTTCATAGGAAGCAGGGATGTAGTTCAGAGAGCAGAGGGTGTCTTGAAACCAGGGTCCAAGGGGGTAAGGAGTCCCTTCTCATTCCATGTAGAGAGAAGATCTGAGGCCCTTCGGGCCTGCCTTGGATAATGGTAGGACCCACTACTCACTTTTATTACTTCCAACTGCCCAGCCTTGTAGATGTGTTCGTGCCCAAGTTCTCCACCACTGGTACCTATGACCTGAAGAAGGTACTCTCCCAGATGGGCATCAGGGAAATCTTCGAGAATGGTGGCCTCACCGGGATCTCCCCTCACCTCAGCCTGAAGGTTAGCCAGGTAAGTCTGCAGGGAGCAGAGGGAGCCTTCACACAGCCCTGGTCAGGGCCAGCTGTCACCTCGTTGTGCGAGCAGGACCCATCTAGCTGTCAGACTGGGCTCATATCCCAGCTCTGTCCCTTACAAGCGTGTGATCATGGGCAAATCACGTAACCTCCCCAAGCCTTGTGCTTCCAACCTTTGACACTGGAAATGTCAGCCTCCTGGTGCTATCTTGAAAGTCAATTTAGTGCACCAAACACTTACTAAGCTCTTCCTATAGGCCAACAGGAGCCCTGGTGGCACAGTGGTTAAGAGTTAGGCTGCTAACCAAAAGGTTGGCAGTTTGAATCCATCAGCAGATCCTCAGAAACCATACGGGGCAGTTCTACTCTGTACTATAGTATTGCTATGAGTCAGAATCAACTCGAAGGCAATGGATGGATCTGGTTATTTTTTTTTTTGGTTTGATAGGCCAAAAAGAAAGCCTGGTAGTGCAGTGGTTAAGCGCTCAACTGCTAATGAAACGGTCGGCAGTTCGAACCCACCAGTCGCTCAGTGGGAGAAAGAAGTGGCAGTCTGCTTCCATAAAGATTACACCCTTGGAAATCCTATGGGGCAGTTCTACTCTGTCCTATAGGGTCACTATGAGTTGAAATCGACTCGATGGCAATGGATTTTGTTTTCTTGGTTATAGGCCAACAGCAGCATAGTCCTGGAACTGGTCTAGGTCTGACCGAGAGCCTCTCTCAAAGACCTCACAGGCTTGTTAGGAATAACTCGTAAACATGCTCCGCATGAAGAAGAGATACGTGAGCAGAGGGTCTTGTGGTCTCCAGGAAGGGTGAACCTCTGCATGTCTGGGGCAAACAGAGAGGACCCGATTTAACAGATAAAATGCACGGCGTAGAGTTAAATTTCAATTTCAGATCAGTAATGAACAATTGCTTAGTATAAGTATTGCATGGGGCATATATTGCATGGGACATACTTACATAGAAAAAAATTGCCGTGCATCTGAAATTCAAATTTAAGTGGACATCCTATATTTCATCTAGCAACCTTACTTTTGGATTAAAAAGGCATTGAACTGTGCTTTGAAGTAGGAGGAAAAGAGTTCAACAGGCAAGGATAGGAGCTGGAAGGGTCTTCTAGCAGAGGGAACTGCATGGCCAAAGTCTGGGCGTGGAATAGAAGAGATGTGAGTCTACGTCAGTAGTGGAGTGAAGGGGGGACTCAAGCCAGTCTGGGAGGGACCAGGTTATAGAACTGGGCAGGCTGCTCTGAATCGGTACACACTGAGGAGCCACCAAATGTGTTTGAGTAGGGGAGGGCCGTGAGAGTGCCTAACACGAGCATGTGGAATGCACGGTTAGTATGTGAATGGGCAAGAACCAAGCCTTGGTGCTTCATTCATCATTCAGCCAGCTAATACTAGGCACCTCCTATGAGCCAGGCCCTTGCTGGGGACACGGAGAAACGGTCCTTCCCTACAGGAGCAGACATGCTGTTTCTCTACAGAGTGGTCAGTGTGGCAGTAGAGGCAGCCCCATGAGAGCTCACAGGAGGCCCCTACCCGCCATCTTGCAGGGATGGTTCACAGCAGGAAGGGCACAGCCTGAGCTGAGGTGTGGAGATGCCTATGAGCTATTCCAAGGGTGAAAGTTAGCATTCATTTGGCACAGACGGCATCAGGCACTGTGCAAATATAGTTCATTTCATCTTCTCAATCTTCCCCCATTGGGTGAGGAGTGAGAGATTCAGGGAGGTCAGGCGATCTGCCCAGGGTCACAGAGGTATGTAAGTGGCAAGCACGGGATTCAGACCGAGGGCTGCCAGCCTCCATGGCCTCCTCTGGGTGCTAGAGGGTTAAACACCCTGCAGAGTGGTCAGTGCTAGCTCTGAGGCCCTGGACTGGCCTTGCTGCACCCTTCCACCATGACTGCTGAAGAGGGTGTCCCAGGGGGAACAATAAGCACTTGGACCTTTTGGGGAGTGTAAGGAGACTTCGAGAGTTCCTGGGTGGTGCAAACGATTAATGCACTCAGCTGCTAACTGAAAGGTTGGAGGTTCAAGTCCACCCAGAGGCATCGCAAAAGAAAGGCTTGGTAAAGATTTACTGGCCTGACAGACGGAGAAACCCCGAGAGTATGGCCTCCGGACACCCTTTTAGGTCAGTGGTGAAGTCACTCC